TTTATCCCGATAAAATGTTGCACGCAATACTGTGCAATTCGGAGCAAAAATAGAAAATATGTTGGTTCACACAAATTAGTAGGAGTTTGCACTAATGGCGCGTACGTTATGTGCGACAACTAACCAAGAATGGATTCCAAGGATTTATCCACATTTATCCACAAATTTAACTTAATTAAACTTGCAACTTCTAGGGAAAACTACTAGTTTAAATGATCTATGGAATCGCGTGGTAAATTTCAAAAAAAGTTGTGTTCCTTAATGGAAGATTTGCGCATGGAAAACTTTAAAGAATTTCCAAGCATATTAAACATGGAAATGGAGATTCCTGATGAAATTGATCCTGCGCAGTTTTGGAGAAGCATAAACAAATTTCAAGCTTCAAAAGCAAAAAGTTTTTTACCGCAATGAATTTACATTTTATTTTTTAATATGAATTGGTGATCAAATTTATTTAATTTTAAACTTCAAAAGCAAAAAAAGTTCATTTACTTTATTTTATAAATAAAATAAAATGAATTCATTTAATTTAAAGCTTCAAAAACAGAAAAATTTCCTTGATTTTTTATATAAAATAGATTTTGGCGCATTTTTAAGTTTTCAAATAGTTATGCTATGTATGTATTATTTTTTTGTTTTAGCTTCAAAAGCAAAAAAGTTCCTTTGATTTATTATTTTATTAAAATGAATTCATTTAATTTTAAGCTTCAAAAGCAAAAAACAGTTCCTTGGTTTTTATATAAAATAGATTTTGCAGCATTTTTTAAGTTTTCAAATATTTATGCAATATTATATTCATTTAAAATGAAAATATATTGAATTAATTTAATTTTAAGCAAAAAAGTTCCACATTACACTAAAATATAATTACGTGCTTATTTAATATTATGTACACCACATTTTATATTTGTATTTCATAATTATCCATAGGTAGAAAACAAAATCCAACATTGTCTAACCAAAAATTTCTAATAGTGCATATTTTCCTGCTCTCACGCACACTACCACACTTTAATTCTGCACACCCCTAAATTATATTGAACGCATTCTAATGCAAAATGTATTGTTTGTAAAATAATATATATATATATACTTTTTAGGTCGTAATGGAAAATGTACAACGACGTTTTTTTGCAAGTGTTTTAATGATTTTTGAAGCGATTCGCCTACCCTAAATATTAACTTCATGTATATTCAAATAAAATATATATTTTATTATAATAAATGGTAAGTAGTTCCCACTAATTACAAGCACAGATTTATATTAATTTCAATTTCTTAATTTTAGGAAACAGTTCAAGATCCCGTAGAAGCTAAATATATATATTTTTCGTTTCTAACTCAGCATAGCCATGAAGAGAGAATGCATATGTGGGTAGACCGGTATATTGCGGATTCATCTTATGTTATCAGTCATTAAGAAAATAAACTTGTACAATATGTATACACGTTCATTTTCAAAAATCCATACAGTTTATTTATTTATACATTTGTATTGTAAAAAACTAAATTACCACTATAATGATCATGTATATCCTAACATACCCGATAGCCATACAAGCTTATTCGATTTTCATAAAAAAGTAATAAAACATATAATAAGGTAAATAAATGGTGTCTTATCTCACTAAATATGTGAAAGGACAAGGATGGGTTAGATGAGGTAATTTATATGAGATGGTGCGCTCAATTATAACCTTTTGCTGGAGACGAAGGAACATATTGTACGTTTTTATATTGAAGCTTCCAGTTCCAAATTTCAGCATTGAGTTTTTGGTGTACGTTTTTATATTGAAGCTTCCAGATCAGAGGTGGAAGCGAACCGACATTTTGTAAATGAGCGAGTCCGCACAGAATTTGTCGGCGCAAACCGGCTAAAAATCAACGATGGTTTTCGATACCATGACAAGTTTATCTAAAGACCAAGCTGGTTTGGTTATGCAACAAGAAGAAAAACTAACGGCACATTTTGGCTTTGGTAACCAAACCAGAAAATGCCGTTAGGTTTTCTTCTTGTTGAAGTTATTTTACTCATTCGTGAAGAAGAACCATTTATGATAACAGGTAATTTTAATATGGATATAAAAATGTAACACATCGTATTTGTTAGACAAAAAATTTTTGTTTCAAATTTTATTAATACATAATAAAATTTTAATTTTTTCTTTGTTTCTTTTAAAAGTGTTATAAAATTGGGGGTCAACAAGACGGACATTGCGAGGAAAAAAAAATGTATTAACAAAAATCTAAGTGCTGATTGGTAAGTAAATTGATAAAGCTGGTAATTTTAACGTTTTTTCAAAAATTCACATATTGTTTCTTTAAAAATTGTGAAGAAAATTGTTTTAACGATCACCATAACAATATGTGGGTTAAAAAAAAACTTTCTTATATATATATATATAAATTTCCCTTTTTCTAAATTAAATGTCTTTATTAATAAAAATTTTAAAAACTATTATTGAAATCAAATTTCTTAAAAGTTATTATTTTTTCGTAATTAGATCTGTTCATCAAAATTTACCAAAGATCCTTAACGGATTTCTTTGGAATTTCTGAAAAATTGATGGAGTTGTTGATGAAGAGGGCGAAAGAAGTGTTGGAACTTTAAAGAATTTACAAATCTATCAAGAACTTATTAAAAAAAAGAACTTTGGCCGACTTGCAAAAGTCATAATTGAAAAGAAGGCTTCTGCGGTTTGCTGGGAGTATTTTGGTCACCTACTTGTTGGAAACAGAACTGTTTTACACCATCCAAAAACTTTGTTTGAGGAGAATTCAGCTTTAAAAACGTATATTTTCCAAAAATATTTTTTCAAAGGTCCACCAATTTTGTTAATTTTAGAGCGAAGTCAATAATCCTAGTTCATACGAGAGCCAGACATGTACTCTTTCTAACACCGTTGAAATTTTCGTATTCCGATGTTTCAGTGAGAAGTTATCATGCCCGCCATCAAAAATAAGTACTTTTCTTTAATTACAAAAAACAACAACAAAACAATAACAAATTTTTTTTTAAATTATTTTTCTTCTCTTATAAATCTGCAATTATATATGTGCAAAGTTACAAACCTTAACAAGCATTGGTATTGATTTACCAGCCCATTGAAAATCTTGAAAAATAAAAATCGAGAATGGGTGGGGTTGCCTTAAAAACCATTTTTAAAACATTAAGGTATAGAGGAGAAAATGGGCACGCATTTGATATTATAAGTCAAATGTTTGATATTGATGACAATATGGACGCAGATGATAACATTGACTTTGGTGAATTGGAAGTTGAACTAGAGGAGGCCACAACGAGGATGTCAGGACAAGGGTTGAAAAACACTGTATCAACAAGATGGAACTCTGTTTTGAGAATGATGCGAAGCTTCAAAGATAATATTGATTTAATTAATGTTATGCTCCTTCAAATTGGCTCTGAATCGTTGGGCATTCCAAAAAATGGAGCAATTATTATTAAAATATCTTGAAAAGTTCTTGTAAATTTTTGAGGAGTCCACAACATATCTACAAGCCCAAGAATATACCACATTACCAAGCTGTATACAATTTCTGGAATCAATATTTGCAAAATTTAATGATTATGAATACAAATCAACATTTGAAGCCATAATACATCTTAACAGCTACGCACAAGGGATCATCTATAAACGAGTCAACATCACTACAGCTCATTTAGTAGCCGCTTTTATGGACCTTGCCAAAAAAATGGATTGTTTTGGATAAATATTTAAAAACAAGATACCGAGAAACGTTAATATTGAAGATAATTATATCTTAAACAGCGACTGCAGCTTATATGTCTCAAAAGACCTTATTTATTTTGAAATTCAGAAATTGAAACTTTCCACATCGTCTTAGTCAGCAAGAAACGTTAATACCTTGTCAAAAAATGGATTGTTTTAGATAAATATTTAAAAACAAGACACCGAGAAACGTTAATATTGAAGATAATTATATCTTAAACAGCGACTGCAGCTTATATGTCTCAAAAGACCTTATTTATTTATATTACACATTGTCTTATTCGGCAGAAATTATATCTTAAACAGCGACTTAAGCTTATATGTCTCAAAGGACCTTATTTTTTCTGAAATTCAGAAATAGAAACTTTCCACATCGTCTTATTCAGCTAGCTTTTTGTTCTCTGTACATTCTATTGGTAGATAGAATTGTCAACAGCGGTTTCATGTAATTACACATGCCACATTTTTGCATTAAATTTACTTGCTTTTTGGTGTACGTTTTTATATTGAAGCCTCCAGATCCAATTTTCTCTCCTGACCAGCAGTTGGAAATCAGAAAATTGGAAAGTTTGTTCAACAAAAAACTGACTAGGAGCACAAACGGTATACCAAAATTCTCGTGAGGTTGATCTCTTTTATACATCGGTTTTTGTGCACGTTTTTATATTGAACGTTCCAGATCCAGTTTTCTGACCTGAGGAATAGTAACCACCAAATTAAAAATTTATCATATTTATAATTGGTGTTAATGGGATATTACAAATAAATAATGAATTGTTTTATTATTGTTTTTCCACAAAAGTAATAAATTTATACAATTTTTTTTAATCTGCTAATTATATTGAATACTTCTTCTGTGTGCACGAATGTGAATTTAGGATATTGGATATTTCCAAATGTATAAACAAAAAGGCAACATTTTATAATAAATGGTATATTTTTTTATTAAAAACAACAACAGCAATTGTTACAATTGCATTTCCTTTCAATAAATTTTCTTAGCTAAAATGAGCATTCAATACTCCGCATTACTGGCTCCCGACGATAATAGGATGAAAACTGGCGTGAACTGGCTTCATCTTGAAGGCTCTGAAAATATATTGATATGAAATCAATTTTACAAATTTTTTATTTGCTCTCTAACTTACCATAGCTTCCTTAAGACTTAGAAAGCTTTCAAATTTCAAACGACAATCAGCTCTGATCTTGGCATCTTCTAACCACAATTTTTGGAATTGCTGATCATCCTTACGTGGGCAACCATAAACGTGAACCTCTTTTAGACCAGTCAATAATTGTGGCAGTTTCTCCAATTGATCGTAATTTAATAAACGACAATAGTGGAAATTCAACGATGATAAATTTTTAAAACTTTCCAAGGTGTGAGAGATTTTTTCAAACACCTCCTCCGACCATTGCCATGCCTGACCATTAATGCAAACATTTTCACGCATTATGGCATATGTCTCCTCGGTCCATTTTTGCAGTGTTTCATCTTCAATATAATAACGATCATTTTCGAATTTTACCCTAGAGAGACTCTGGGCCTTTTCGGGATTTTGTGAAAGTTCTGCAAATAAATTTTCCTCAAAATTCAATGGCATAAAGTTGATCCAGAAGAATTGTAAACACTTTAAGGATGACAGATTTAAAATTGCTTTTAGAAATCTTGGATCCTGAGTAAAGGCGGTGAGTCGTAATGTATGGAGATTAGTTAAATGTTTGCAGAGATTTTGCATTTTTGGTATATCTTTCAAATGTTCACATTCGACGATATTCAGAGATTTAAGTTGCCTTTTCTGTGCCAATGACAACAAATGATTGGGATCCAAGTTACGGCAACATTTCAATTCCAAATTTTCAATATTTTCCAAATCCGCCAAATATTCACCCCATAGCCAGCGATTATCTCCATCCAAGAGGCGTATGCTATGTAAGCTCTTACATCTCTTAGCCAGTTCCAAAATAGTTTGATCTTGTAAAAATTTCCCCTGAACTTCCAACTCCTTCAAAGCGGGGAAATACCTCACATTTTGCTTGAAATTGTCATTAATGAAGAATTTTAAATTCTCCATAGGATTACAACCCATTTTCCATTCAATGTGTTTCAACAAATCCATATTGAAATATGTTGAAAAACGCAAACGTTCCACATTCGAGCCACTTAAATAACATAACTCTGATATTTCTTCATCGTTGAGATTTTGTGTGAATTTAAATGTTAAATAATTGTAGATGAAATAACGATAACGTTGTTGTAGTATCTGTGAGATAATCTGACGAAATTGTTTACAAACTTTTGATAATTTTAGTAAATCCTTTAAATCACAAATATCGAATATGTGATATAATATTTCCAATGGCAGTGAAGAAAATGTACAGAAAGATAAGGTATCCATGGAGGTGGCCAGCTCTTCGCATTCGGATAAATTTAATCTGAAATGAAAACAATATTGAATTAATTAAAATTGTGTAATGAGTATTGTTTAGAAATCCGCAGAAAAAAAATTTATTAAAATGTATATACTGCTGTTAAAAATTACAAAGTTCTGAGTACTTCCCAATTTGCTTGGACAAAAGTACAGACATAAACGAAGTATATCAACTATGTTCGTTGCGAAAATACAGATTATATTGCTTTGGAAATTATGTCTATAGTTGAATCTTCTAAATGATAAATTACATTCTGTCGCGGATTAAAAAAGGGCGAGGTATTTGTACAGACGGTAAAAGCCACATGCGCGGAAAAATTATGGATTTATATAGTATTTGAAAAAAATGGATTGGAGTTTCAGGACTTCCGAAAATATAACAATCAGAAGCGTGGGGGAGTTCATGCATTAACGCATAGGAAATTCGAAAATAGAAAGGCACCGCCCCCACAGACCTGAGAAAATGTACGCTGATGTGAGTTGTCCAAGTCGCGGTAAATTTATTCACTGGGTGTTTCATACACGAATACATTAGATTGTATTTTTAGAAGTATTAGCGAATTCTAGCATTGAATAATAAACAGATGTTATATAATTACTGAATATTTTTCATAGCATGAAGTGAAAGTACGTTAAATATATAAAGCAGTTGCTTATCATTTTCCGTAGCATTTCTAATTGAAATTAATTTTCGAGCCAATCCAGTCTTGGAAAAATGTTAAGAATCTGAATATCCTTTTAATATGGATATTTGCATCTTTGTGTGCATCTTTTACGCTTCAACATATTTATGTGAGCAGATATTTTTTAACCAAATAAGCTTAGAAGCAATTTAAGCTCTGCAAATTAAAGAAGCATTATGATTTTCCAAAACTAAAGTAAATAAATATTTTCAGTTGTAGTTACGTATTTGATGAACTTATTATGGAAGAATGCATGTTACAATTATACAACTGATTTGATCGTAATACTCGTGCGATGTTCGATATGACATTCAAGATATATGTAAAATGACCCAGCAGGAAAATGTACGTGTTATATGTGAAATAAAAAATACGATAATGAATTATGCCATGAATTGGCATGAATTCTACATTATCAAATCAAAGAAAATACAAAGGAAGTTCGTTGACCTCTGGTATACAATTTACTTAAATTTCGTAATAGGAAAATATGAAGCAGCAAATATTTGCAATGAAAAATTCCTATGTTCAACGCTAATTCTAGACTTTTTGTATGAGTTATCTCTACATATGGCAATGACTCAAGTAAAGAAGTTGAAGCTTTAGAATTATAAATTTGAAAGATTTTCATTCATGTTTTTCAATTTTATTCAGAAAATTCAAAACAATTTAATTTTGCAAATAAATCAATTTATTGATATTTCTTACTTTTTGTTTAAATTTTTTAAAACTGTTAGTGTTACATACAATTACATTTGTTCAAAACTTATAAGGTTATGAACATGGTCTGCATTTTCCAGAATGTGACAATTTTACAAGCAAAAGATGAGCTCACATGTAGCCTTCATTCAATCCAAGCATGCATTTCGAAAAGAATTAAATTGTTAAGGAAAATATTTTCCTCTCAGATTAGGTCACGAATAACTTAACAAAATATTGGGTTGGGGGAAAGAAGTCATTTTTTTGTGGTGTGAATGCTTTAAAACAGTTTTATGGTCGATTTTTAGCTCCTGTTTAATGTTACGACTGCTAATATGCATGTCAACTTCGATCGTTTCTCCGATTTTATCGACGACCGGCAGGACCTGTGCGAAGTGCATCTTTAACATCAAAAATTCCTGAAACCAAAATTGCAAATAATTGGCTGTTACAGTATCGGAACCAAATGTAAATATGGCATCACATTTTTTCTTTAAAGCAATGGAATAAAATCGAACAAATTAATATATAATTACTAGCGGGCCAGGCAAACGTTATCTTGCATAGCCATATTGTTGATGTATAATTCACATAACGATAGCCCAATATTATGTTAGCTTTTTCTAACCTCAATGATTTGAGATAGTGCTCTGTACATACATTGATACTACTCCTAGGATATTTGGTATTGAAAATGTCCAATATTAATTCACTATTTAGGGTAGCCCCCATATAACAGTCCCTCGCAATATGAGATTTTTTACGATTTTTTCAACAGAATTGGTTGACTGTAATTTATATTTTAGATAATCAGTGAGTACAAAATCTCCTTACAAAGAATTATCAATGTTGGTCCAAATTAACCGGAAATTTGGACCAACATTGATAAATATCCACGAATTTAGTATCATTGAATGTACACGCGATTATTTTATTGTTTCCATAAAATGCACGTACATTTTGGGATTTATGCAAGGATGGAAAATCAGAAGACATTCTGAAATAGGTTACACCTTCGCGTCCATTCATAGTATTCGGATTCTAAGATCCATGCCCTAGATTAATTTGTTTGAAAATATAATAATAAAAACATGTTTTTGATATTTTTTTCACCTTTTAAACCTTCCCTAGATCTCCAAGGACATTTCAAGACTAAGATCAGATAAATCCGTTCAGCCGTTGCCGAGTTTTAGCGAGACTAACGAACAGCAATATATATATATATATATATATAAATTTAAAATATGATTTTCTAAATATTTTTACAAAATAAAAAAGTTGTTTTACGATATATATATATATATATATATATATGATTAGCTATTGAAGTTTTTTGTTGGGCTTTTTTGGTCAGGTATTTTTGATGAAAATAAAAAACTGATTAGCGTGTTTGCCAGCTCCCGTCAGTTTTTTGAGAATTGACTTTCCTTGTGGATTTTTTGTTCATGAAGGAAAGAAAAGGAGAAGAAAATATTTTTACGGATTTAGTATTCATACCGATATAAGCAACGCATTAACAAATTTAAAACAATTTGTGTTAGTTTGCAAAACATTGCTATGAAAAACATTATACAGAATGCGACTTCAATTTCACAACTTCGTGGGTTATGTTGTGCAGATGGCATTGAAGAAACAGTTAAAAGTCTATTTGATATATCAATACTGTATGGAAATGATATTACAATTGCAAAGAAAATTGTGGAATGAATTCAATAAATAAATTCAAATGTTTTGATTTCATTCGTTAACAACGAAATAATTCCAACTAATTATCTCCTTAAAAATTAAAATGTTTACAGGAGATGAAAAATGCTTATATTTTCTAATGTCTGGCAAAAAAATTGGTCACTTGCCCATTGCTGTGTGAAAAATCTGCTGCAAAGCATATAATACAAGGATGAAAAATAAAAATATATACTGTTGCTTTTATTGTAGCGTACACAATAAAGAGTTATATGAATATCTCTTCACATACAACCAAAACTATTTAATTTTTAAAATCCAAGAGAACTGTCGAAATTTCCATAAGAGCTTTTATTGAAAAATATATATTGACAAGTAGGTAGGTACTCACTTTTCAACAGCCCACTCTTTAGCCATTTTCAACTGATGTTTATTAAATGTTTCCATACGACACACAAGAAAGCACACTTAATGCCAATAGTTGCTACGGTATCTCAAATAAAACTACGTATTTTTTAATTTGTAATACTTTCTTACAAAATTTCTTGATATTTATTGTTTTGTTATTTTATTATTGATATATTTGTGTACAAAATGTCGTAGATTTTGATAAATTTATTTTTAGCACGCCAATGGAGGAATAACATTTACAAAGCAGCCGAACGCGGTCTTCACACTCTACCCTAATTTCACAAACTAAACAAAATGAGTAGCGCACAACAGCTGTTTTCGACCAGTTGCTTGGCTAAGCATCAAAACAAAAAACATACAACCAAACATATGTTTATTTCTCTCTTAAGAGAACGCACAAGTGCACTGCGCCATAGCATGCAGTTGCGGAAAAGAGAAAACTATTAAAGGTACGAAAAATAAAATAAACTAATGTCGAGTAATAAAAAAAAGCTCTTTGCAATGCCATAACATCTAACATGCATTTAAAATGTATTTCAGTTTTTTTAAAAATTAATTATTTCGAATTAAACGAATTATATATTATGCCTGTAAACAAAAAGACTGAATTAGGTTACTACGTTTTACGTGAGTCATTTCAAATGAAGTAAAACAGATTAAACTATTCACAAAATGTTAATATAATTGGAAACGCAACGGTTTGAAATTTTAATATTAAAACAAATGAAGATATATGTGTTAACAAATGTTCAATTATAGGAAAATAAGAAAGAAATAGAAACAATATTTTGAAATCGAAAATATAAATTTTGTGCATTTGTTTATTTGTTTATTTTTCTGTCAAAAGTTCTAGAAGAACTTACAAAAACAAATTTAATGTGGTTGAATATATGCAACATACATATATTATACCATGGGTTACTCCAAAATAAATTTTTTTACGTTTTACGTGAGTCATTTCAAATGAAGTAAATAGATTTTATATTGTAATATTAAAACAGATTAAACTATTCACAAAATGTTAATAATCAGAAAAGAAACATATTTGAAATTATAAATTTTGTGCATTATTTTGGAAATCTAGAAGAAAAAATATAATAAATATACATACATTAGAAGTTTAAGGTTTAAATATTTGTGGTTACATTTGGGAATTGCAACAAACACAAATTAGTTTAATAAATCGATTGATTAATAAAACGCATGAGCAATTTATGCACCAATAATTATATATAAGATAAAATATAAAATTATATATGGATAAAATTCGTCCCATAAAATTTAGCCGAGATTTAAATTATTGTTGGTTTTCAAAAAAGGTCCTTTATTTCTATTTTTCACAAAAAGATTATTGCAGAACGGGAACATGACAAATGTAAATAGTGCATGAAAATATATTTGCTTATAACGTATCACAATAATATTAAAAGAGGCTCGAATGATTTAATATTATTAATCAAATAAGTAATGTTGTTGACAATATAATTGTTGCTGATATCTTTGACTTCGGTGGACTGGACATCGAAATAGAGTAGGTCATCACTAATAATGCAGAACAAATATTTAAAAACGTTATATCAGCGCGATGGAACATTGTTTTAAAGAGATTTCAAATCCCCAATTTAACTACGAGGTCACGAATACGTCACATTACCAACCCGAATATGTTTTCTGCCTTCAGTATTTGCAAAATTTATTGAGTTTGAGTCCGAATGATGACGTCGTAATAAATCTTTACAGCTTCGCAAAAGAGATCACTAAAGCTCAATTATTTCGGAAAAAATATCTAAAACGTTATGTTTCATTCGTTTGGACTTAGACCAAACGAATGAACTAAATTCGCTCAATGATTGATTTGGGTTTTGTCTCTAATTTGCCATGTGTTTATATCCAATTTCCTTAGATATAGGAAATGTCACAAAATTTTGGGACACATATTCGCCCCATATTTTGTTGTCTTCCGTTTGCCCTTGCAACAATTTAACAACCGAATAAGCAAATTCCGACTTTCATTGTTAAGCTAATATATCAAATATGGTTTGTGGCTACCCTTAGAGTTATCAAAGACATAAACCGTAGCATATGTGTGATATGGCAACTATGTGGTATGGTTGTATATGTAAGACCAAAACCATAATTGGAATTAACTAAAATTCCTCCGTATGGCAAATATATACAAACGTTATAATAAAATTTGTTGAATTTACAATTACGCATGGCAAACCAAATTTTTACTTACAGATGATGCGTTAAATAATAAAAATCAAAGAGAAATTTGTTTACAGTAAAAAATAAGGTAGTGTTGAGCTTTGAAATGGAATTTGTCTATTTTTCAAGAAATGTGCCAATATGTAGCTGATCCACGAACATAAAAACAATATATATATGGCAAACATTTTTTGGTCAGCCCTCGATTCGTTTGAAGTATTTTGAATTTTATACTATACTATAATTTTATAGTGTGGAAATAGAAAATTATAGCATGTAATGTTTCCATACAATTTCTACAGTACACCTAACATTCGGAAAATCACCCTTAATATAGAAAATAAAGGTCCGAATATACCAAAAATTGCTAGAATTAGTAGAAAACAATAAATAATTCTTAAAACAAATAAATATTTGATATAAAAACTTAAAAATATTGGAATAAACCTAAAGGAACGATTCGATTTCGAAAGCCTTTAGTGAAGAAGGCCAGAATATGTTTGCAATATGTGAGAAAATTTCGATTAATATTGACATTTATTACATCAAATCGATTGTTCGAGTAGTACAGAATATATTTTATCAAAAAATATATCAGTCACAACAGAAAGAACAGAGATCAACGCCTATGTTGGTCAGTAAAAGCATCAGCATCATTTTTGATGTTGTTGCCCATATTCACTCAATTTTTTTGCTTAGAATCTGCATATTAAGCTTTTTTCTAGCTCCTTTAGCCATATACATTACGTTGGAAGCCTCGTAGTTTTGTTTAAGATTTAATTTTGATAATATTATATGAAACCAATTTAATTTTTTTATAGATTGAAATTGGCGACATTAAAGTATTTATTACTGACTGATAGAATGAAATCTTCTGTAAATTGGAATGCGTATGTCGTTCAAAAACGATTGTGTACACCTATGGTCTGTTCCAGAACCTGCAAGAATGTGTAATTTTTCCATTAAGACATTTAAAAAAATAGTAGAAATTAATAAATTCCTACAGTCCTACAATTCATAAAATTGTACGTATGTCGATTGGCATATTTTCAAAACAATAAAAAAAATTATATTTTCTGAAGCTGCACATTGCTCTCAAAATTTAATAATGGTTGTTACAACTTATATTTATAGATTTTAGAGGTAGGGAACTTCAAACTATTAATAAATATAAATGATTTACAAATTTTTCCACTAAACACATGATAAGCGTACATTTCGAAGGAAAATACTTTAAATTTTGAAAGCTGAATGCTGTCAAAGGCAAATTTATACAAAAAATGTGAAACTTTTCAGCATTTTCATATGTGTTACACATATTAGTGTCAATTAAACAATCAGAGGAAATATGTGGAAGCGATAGAAGTATAAATTTAATAAATTTTCATTCCTAGGTTTGATAAAAAATAAAAAAATAATAAAAAAATAGAAAAAACATGAAATTAGTGTTGAATTCAATTAGTACAGTAAATCATTCCATGAGAACTTCCCTAGTATTTATTCAATGTAATCGTAATATTTGTTTTATCGATAACAGTAAACAAATTCCCATCTCTTATTGGATTTTCCTTTACCACAGGGAGAGAGAGAGCATTTCGATAACTGTGTTTATGCCAGAGCCCTCTGTCAGAGAGACCAACAAATTCAATCCAAATTTTTTATTTGATGCGAGAACATCTTTCGTACGGCAGAAGCGCGTTTCGTTACTACGGGCGTTTTGGAAAAATATAGAAAAGAAAAAATAAAAAGTTGAAACTGGTAAAAATATATACAAATCGAAAGAAATTGTTTTACAAAACGGAAAGAAATGGCAAATTTGTATTGTTAAACGCGAAAATTTGTTGTGTGTTTGTGCAAATTACACGGTTTACGTTCTTTGAAAAAGTGTTTGTGCTTCTTGTATGTGAAGTAAAGTGAAAAATATATCGAAAAGAAAATACAACGAGAAGCGAAATTGAAGGAAAAAAATAAGAAACGTCATTAAAGTGTATTACAAAACGTAAGAAAAATTCCCCCTCAAACACACACAAAGTGCTAAGAAAATCTTACTTAAATAATTGTGAAAAAAAGAAAGAAATTTTTGCAAAAAAATGTTGTTGTTTTTGTTTTGTAGTTATCTAAATTGTTGTTGTATTTATTAACAAAGCATTAAAACAATTCACTTTTGATATCTGCTCTGTGTGGCCAAATATTAAAGAAGAAAATTTATGTGTTTGTTGGTGGTGTCCCGCTCCGAAAAAGGGGGAAATAGCTTGTGAATATGTGTGTGAGAGAGAGAATGTGGCGTTGAACAGAGAGCCGAGAGTGTGGGTTTTTTAATGTTTTTCCAGAAACCAGAATAAATAAATGTTTGAAGCAAAAAAAAATTGTTGTTTTTAGATATATTTTATTTAAATATTAAAAACTAAAGTAATATTGTGTTTTAAATTAACGTTTTTAACGTTTAAATCCATTTCTAATTATTATTGAACAATTTCCTGTTGGCATATATTTCCCCTCCTCTCGCTCATTCCCCAACGACATGTTTTTTTTTTGTTCATTCATAATTTTGTTCTATGCTGCTCCTGTTAGAAATTCGTTCTCCCTCTCTCACTGTATGTTAAAGCCTCTCTATTACTCTTGACATCTTAATATTGGCGTTGTTGTTGTTATGTTTTTCTTATTTTGGCTTGACATTTCTTGCCTTATGTCAATTACAGTTGTGTTGTTAGTACTCTGAGTATGAGAGCAAGTGATGCCACCTCATTGCATTGCAGCAAACCAACCTTCTTCTAGTTGTCAACTAAATAGGGGAGTAT